GTGCTTCATCCTTATGGTATTTTGACCAAAGCATGTCACAGACATTACATTAGGACACGAGGGAACTAGGTTAACTTGTTGAAATAGGGTATAATATGACTCCTTTAATGTGTCCCACATAAAATCCTCAGGAATATCCATGATGGATTCTGGAACAGTTGGTTACATCCACGCTACATCTGCTGCTTCGTGCTCTTTGGCCAAAGTCTGTACAGCCTCCATTAGTGATAGAAGTTTATATTTTGCCATCTCCTTGACTGAAAATATCAAAAGATACTACTAACTACTTTTTCAGTTTGCTACATCTGGATACACTGTATATCAGTTATTGCAAACAAAGAGTCAAGTCTTTCCCTAGGTGACTATCGACATGCCTTTAGCTGTAAAGCTAGTAGAATAGCTGCAGAAAGCTAAACATATCAGTAACACTTTTTCTTTAATGACCACATGTTGAATTTATGCCATCACTGATCAGTTGAGGGTCAGGGACCGTCAGGCGTCGGTCCTGGTGTCCTCAGGCAACCACTTACAGTGAAAATGCAACAGATGATGCAATAGGAAACAAATGAGCCTGATATGGGGCTTTAGGAATGCAATAACATGCCAATGGGGTAGGGGAAAGACTATCTTCTCTTTGCCCCGGGGCATCGCCACTGCCTAGTCTACTGTGACAAATGAAATAGCTTTTAATTCTTTAAAATGTTTAGTGTTTTCATATTTATAAGGCAAGTAAGCTGATATGATCTGTCAGTATATCTGCAGGAAAATGTCAATGTTTGACATGGTTTTAGTTACAGGACTGCTGGCACACACCAGACAACTTCATAGTGACAAAATGTTCTTGCTTAATGGATGCTGGACGCATAAGAGTCTGTGGGCAACGGGTGAGAAACATTTTGGGCTAGATGATGCATTTTGGGCTGAGGAGGAAAGCTATAAAAAAGTGTGTGAAAAATGGGTATACATTGAGGTGATGTGTTATATTATTTGATAAGCACAAATGCACACACATACACACATGCAGCTCTAACTGAGCCAGAGAGATGCCCCAGAGAAGGGAGGTTAGCCAGTCATGAAATTACTAAACAAATAGAGGCTTAAGGCTTCCCAGCTCAAACATTTTAAGTGGTTGTTGAGACTTGCAGATAAGCTCGATGTATGTGTGGCTGACGGATATAAAAGATGATGCTTATGATAATTATGATGTTGGTGAATGTGATGTAATTGGTTAATTATTGCTTACATTAAAATTCTACTGTAGGTCAAACCCCACAATCATTATTTATTAAATATTTTAATTACATGTTCCGTAACTGCTTTGGTTTTTTCACTTTGTTTCTGATAGCTAGTTTTTCTTTTTACCTGCCTGACTATAATGTTGGACCTACCCACTGCTGCCAGTTTGGCATCAGAAAAATATCCCCTAAAGAATTTCCTGTTGGCTGTGGACTCTGTCTTTTTGAAAATGGGTATACTCCGGCTGCATGTGAATCCACTTTTGTGTGACTCACAGTTTTCCCCATTGAGCATAGTGTATGGTAACAGGTTAACCTGCACTTGATGCCCCGTGATGACAGCCTTCCCAGCTCTTTTTCTTTTGCAGCCATTAGATTAAAAAAAATCTGATTTTAGAAAAGCAGCTGTCCTGCAGTGATTTGGCTTTTTCAAAATGTGGGACACTGTCTAAGTATGTTGGACGTGGGACAAGGAATAAAAATGCTGTGGAAGGAATAAAGTGGGACACCTGGCCACCCTATCTAACATGTCTGCTTATTCCTTTCTACCACTGGCTGTGAGAACTGTTATTGCAATGTTCTCTCTGTCTATCTTTCTACCACTTTTTCTCTTTTATAGGTCACCGTTGGCTGAGTTCTCATTAAAAGTGTTAAAATGTTTACTGATCACTGTGAAATGTTTATTATTAAGTTATTGAAAATGTGTTGGCTCGTGTTGTAGCTACTTTTCCCAATTTCTAGGCTATTTCTCCATCCAGTCTTTTGCTGGGTACCCCACATATTGAAATATTTCTGGGAAAACTATATAATAGTAGTAATAAAAAATGAAGTAACACCAGCTATTGAGGATAACCTAATTGTGATTTTAAATGGTTCAAATTTTACAGTATGTGTAGCCCAGCTACTGTAGCAAAATACTGCCTTCCTGCAGATGCAAACTGGAGAACCCCTTCTTGATATTCGGAACAACACCAACAACCAGGCAGTAAAAAAAAAAAAGAGAGGAACTCGGTGAACATCTTTTAGATTTCACCAGCTCTGCAGTATACCTGTCTGTCAGCATCACAGTGGTT